TTGTTATTTTGTTCTTGTATTGTTTTCCTGAATTTTTCTAGGGTTTTGTCTGTGTTTTCCTTGATACCTGATGATCCTATATTTAAGTCTTTTGAATTTCTTATCGGGTAGTTCCATTACCATTTCTTCCTCAGGAAGATTTTCTGCCCTTTTATTTTGCTCACTTGTTTTAGCCACCTTATCCTCTTTCTTCATATGATTTGTTATTTTTATTGTCTTCAGGGCATTAAGTCTGGTGCTGATGGTTAGTGTATTCTCTGGAAGTCAGGGCAGGATGTCTCTGTATCTGCTGTAAGGGAGTACCATCTAAACGGACAGAGTAGGTCCACGGTGCATGCACAAATTGAAGTCTCAGTAGGTAGTGAGGTATCAAGGGGTTTCAGTGCAAGTGCAGAGAGCCTGCAGGAACTGTTTGGATGTGGGATGTGTGCTATTACATCTGGTTGGATGCTATATGAGGGCACTAGGATCTCTTGCTCATCATTTGGCAGGGGTGTAGCTGGCTCCTGTCATGAAGTGACTGGTGTCGATAGTGAGGTGATGTGTTTGTCCAGCCAGTCACCTGGGCATGGGTGCAGGGTGCTGGCAGCTCTGTTGGGTGTGGTGGGTGATCAAGGTGAAGGTACACAGATCACCAGCCACTATGCAGGTGGCATGGGAAAAACTATTGGTTGTCAAGTGGGCAGCATGGTGGAGTAGTGATTGGAGCAAGCTAGCACAAGCCTCTGATTGCAGGTCCAACAGCATGTGAGCACATGCTGTGAACTGAGGGCAGGAGTGGGTGCATGGGGATGGATGGTGTGGTCACAAGCCTCCGGTGTCATCGCAGATCACCATGCGAGGGGAAGGGAAGTCCACCACTGGTCACTGGCAGGGAAGGCTGGAGAAGGGAGGATCACATTCCCCCAGTCTCTGGTGTCAGTGCCGGGGCACTCCCCACAAAGTGCAGCTGACCATTAAGACTTGGCCCTACCCAATGCAAGGAGTGGGGGACTGTCTGGAGTTTGGTTGTGTGGGTGATCTCTAGCCACTACTCCAAACATTCTCCACTCCACCAGTGCCACCTGCCCAAATGATCAAGGACCACTGCTGGTGAGTAGTTCTATCCCTATTTTTTGACTCCCTCCCTGCACTGTGGTCACCTGGATCCCTAGAATGCTCGTCTGCCTACTGACACTCTCCTTCCCTAGATCCAGTTCATGTTCTTCTCACCTTGCTTCTTTCTGGATTTGTCCATACAGTATCTCTGTCTCCTATTGGGGCTTCCTCAAAGTTGACTTCCTGCACTCCTAACCTGGGAAGGTTGTTCACTTTTCCTCAAGGAGGCCACGATGTGCCAGGTCAGCTGGTAGGACCCTACAGTCTGTAAGTCTCTTCTTTCCCTGTTTTCATTCAGTTTCTCCCTCCCTTCGGTGTTCAATCTAATTCTTCATTCTTCTGTTTGCTGTTCTGGGTGCCCAGATTGTCATCTGCATCTGTTTCACTTTGTTTCTCAATTCTTTGCTGCAGGGGAATGGCAAAGTGTGTGTGACTAAGCCACCTTCTTGGGCTGTCCTGATAGGATTTTTTTTAATTTGAAATGCTTATATATTTCTTCAGTCATGAAAAAAATTATTACCAACTCAGATATTGTCTTTCCTCATTTTTCCAATTATCTTCAGTTAGATGTATTTAAGTTTCTTGCTCTGTCTTAAAATCCTTCATTTTGTGTATTTTCTACTCGTCTCTCTGACTTGTGTTCTGAGTTATATCCTCAATTATACCAGCCCACTATTTTTCACATCTATTAAAACTTTTTTCCCTGCCAAGTTATTATATCTTTAATTTCCAAAAATTCCACTTGATTATTTTATGATGTTCCTTCATCTTTCTGTTGATTTATGTATGTCCTTTCTCACCTGAATATCTTGTACATACTTCTTTAATTTTTTTCACATTTCTCAATTGTCTCTGTTTTGTCGAGTTTTAATGCTCCTATTTGTTTGATCTGTTGATCAATGTTTATGGTTTTGGAATTCTTCCTCTGCATTGCCATTGAAGTTTAGTACAATTTGTGTGACTATAGTCTCCCATACTAGCAAGCTTCCTTATCAGGCAGTTGTGCTGTTTTCTCGATGTGTTGTTGTTAGTTGCAGTCAGGTCAGTTCTAACTCATGGTGACCCACATGTACAGAGTAGAAATGCTCATTGGATTTCAAACCTGTGACCTTTCAGAAGTAGATCACTAGGCTAGTCTTTTGAGGTACATCTGGGTGAGTTCAAAGCTGCTAATCTTTTGACTTAACAGTTGGCACCACCCTGGTGGTGCAGTGATTAAGTGTTTGGCTGCTAACCAAGAGGTCAGCAGTTTGAAGACACCAGCCATTCTTTGGAAACCCTATGGGGCAATTCTACTCTGTCCTATAGGGTTGCTACAAGTAGAAATCGACTCGATAGCAATGGTTTTGGCTTTTTTTTTTTTTTTTAGGGACCTGGTTAAGATATTGTTGTTGCTGTTGTTTGGTACTGTCAAGTCGATTTTGACTCATAACAACCCCATATGACAGTGTAGTGCTGTTCCATAGGGTATTGTCTTAGTTATCTAGTGCTGCTATAACAGAAATACCATAAGTGGGTGGCTTTAACTAACAGAAATTTATTTTCTTACAGTTTTGGAGCCTAGAAGTGCCGAATTCTAACGGAAGGCTTTCTCTCTGTCGACTCTGGGGGAGGGTCCTTGTCTCTTCAGCTTCTGTTTTCTGGTTCTTTGGAGATCTGTGTGTGGCTTGGCATCTGTCTTCCTCCATCTCTGCTTGTTTAGTCTGCTCCTTTTATATCTTGTAAGAGATTGACTCAAGACACACCCTTCACTAATCCTGCCTTATTAACATAACAAAGACAACCCATTCTGAAATGGGATTATAACTATAGGCATGAGGATTAGGATTTACAACATGTATTTTGGAGGGGACACAATTTAATCCATAATGGGTGTTCTAAGCTGCAATCTTTATGGGATCAGATCTTCAAGTCTTTCTTCCTTGGAGCTGATGTATGGGTTCAAACAGCCAACCTTTCAGTTAGCAGCTGAGTGCTTAACCGATGCACCACCAAGACTCCCTTTTCTAAAACTAGTGGGTTTATATATGACCCTGAATCCATTCTGTTATCAGTTCAATATGTTCAACCTCTACAGATGCATTTCCAAATTCAATGTCCACTTATAGGGTCCTCTACTTCCTTCTTCCTCCTTCCTCCAAAGTCATATATTCTCTGACTGCAACCTCAGTAAGTTGAGCAAAGATATTTCAGCTTCCATCAGAGGCAAAGATCAAAGTCTCAAACTACAGCTATCCTCAAGAAACTCAATTCCAGCTCTTTGCCAGACATGGACATTCTGGAAAGAATTGAAACTCCAGTACTGATTGCCCAAGTATAGTTGCAGTTTACCTCGAGCATGAGCCGTGGCACATGCCTTTCTATTTCTCTTCCACAGAGATTGTCCTCTTGCTTTTGAGGGCAACTATGCTCTTTTAAGAATGATCTATCATTGCCATGTATATTTATGCTATATATAGAGAGAGAGAGAGAAAAAAAAAAAAGAGGGAGTGAGAGAGAATATATATTCTCTCTCCTGTCTCTATATATATCTATACATCTATATCTATATATATAAACAAAAACCCAAATTTCTCGCCATCGAATCAATTCTGACTCATAGCAACCCTGTAGGACAGAGTAAGAACTTCCCCACAGTGTTTTCAAGGAGTGGCTGGCTGGTGGATTTGAACTGCTGACCATTTGGTTTGCAGCCAAGCTCTTAACACTGTGTCACCAGGGCTCCAGAAGGCCAGATAGTTTAATCCTTATGAGTTTGGTTAATGTGAATATGCCCTTGAAAATAGATCCATTCTGACAAATCAGGTATCTTTATACTTCTACTGATTAAAAATCCATGTAAAATATCACTATTTTATTTCTACAGTGTAACATGAGAGGAAAAGAGGAACAAATTGTGTATATATAGAATATATATATATATATATGTGTATATATAGAATACGCAGAGAACTGTCAAATTTTTAAAAAGCAAAGGCTGAGGAAATGACAAGTTCTTTAAAAGAGGGTGGAGTGTTAAATCCAACAAACCACTGAATGAGCCTGTGTTGGTTGCTGCCACATGCCATGGAGGGAATCACCATTTGAATCTTACCCTGAATCTGTTCTTGGTCCTCACACTCTCCTAGGTAAAGGTGAAGGGCAGATCATGTTCCAGAAATAACCAGTGCTTAAGAGCAGAGAGTGGAGAATCAGGAGCCAGTGTTATGGGAACTAGGGAGATGGAGGAAGAAAGAATTTTGGATTGGTAGTGACCCTATAGGACAGAATAGAACGGCCCCATAAGGTTTCCAAGGAATAGCTGGTGGATTCGAACTGCTGATCTTTTGGTTAGCAGCCAAACACTTAACCACTGCACCACCAGCGTGGTACAAACTGTTAAATCAAAAGGTTAGCAGGTTTGAATCCATCCAGTAGTGATCCACTTCTGAAAGGTCACAGCCTTGAAATCCTATGAGCAGTTCTACTCTGCACATGTGAGGTCACCATGAGTTGGAATTGACCTGCATAAAACTACATAAAACACATTTTTATAGTGATAAATAATAAACTACAATTAAATACTGTCACTCCAAGCTTCATCATCAACCAGAAATCTCTCTCTTTCTCCTCCACTCACCTTCCCCCATCTCCCTTCTGCTGGACGCCTACTATACTATTTAACAAAATTTTTAGATAAGCAGTTAAACTTTCTGCTCTTCCAAAAATAGCCAATGTCCTTCATTACTAGGAGAAATAAAAGTAACTTCACAATAACATGTGTGTTGTTTCCTCTTTTAAATTCTTTTCATCAGAAAGCAAGAATATATTTCCCAAGACCTGACAAACAAGAATAATTTGTACTCAATTTTTTTTCTGAGAAATTAAAACAAATATAACAACTTTGTTTTCCTTGTTCACAGCATCTGGGTTTTCAATTTCAAGATCTTCATTGACATCAAAGTGACACAAATGTGTGGATTTTACCGCAGTGAATTCTAGATTGCATGAAGAGATAAGCCAAAAAGAAGAAGAAACATTTCTGCTGAAAAGCAACAAGCTTCAGTAATTCTCAAGGATAACTACTTGTCAGGGATGATTGGGGCGTGGAATAAAATAATAAGTTTAAAAATGACACAAATTAATACATCATAATATTAGTAACTCTACACATACGAAGAACCATAATTATGCCTTTATGCCTGCAACATGGGCTGCCAGTAAGACACACTAATAAAATATTTCAAATAATTGTCTTTCAAAGTTCCTGTTACTGTTTTCAGAGGGGCTTTCCAATCTGTCAGGTTTATTTAAGACAACTCAGAAGCTGATTTTTATGCTGCTATAAATGATTTTTATCATTGTCTATAAAATTAGAAACATGTTATGCTAGATACTATAACAGCAAGACTCCTAATTAAGGTGTTCATGGGAAGATTTTAAATGAACACAAGTTTCTATATCATTACTGTTTTCTTGGACTTTTTTTTTTTCTCTAAGAAAATAAGGAGTGCACATGACAATGCAATAATGTATTTTTTTTAATATCAAGAGAAACATAAATCTTAGATGGATTTAAGATATAATGAATAAGTGAATTTAGAGACAATTAAAAGGAATTTCAATATAAATTAATGAAATAAGAAGAGTGGAACATGCAAAGTTAGCTATATAAAGGCATCTGAGTCTCCATTTTATTATCTATAATTTTTTGGCATCAACATTGGAACTTTGTTAAATTACCATTTGCCATGATAAATGGTGGGTCTATGTTGGATCTTACAAAAGTTTTTCATATCCTAAAAAAAGGAATTCATAGAGAGCCCTGAGAAGAGTCAGAATCACAGAGTATCAACATAAAAAATGTCTCCACAAATCATGTATTATGTCCAGTGCAGAAGTCCAATTCCTAGCAGTCAATCAGCCATAGCATAAATATTTGCAGTGATTTGGATTTTTGACGAGCTCAATTCTTTTTTTTTTTTATTTTAATTTTGGTGAAAAGCTACACAATACCTTTATGAACTCAGCCATTTCCACATGTATAATTCAGTGACATTGACTACATTCTTCCTGTTGTGCAACCTTTATCACTGTCCTTTTCCAACTTATTCTACCACCATTAACATAATCTCAATGCCCCCTAAACAAAACTCCACGTTTCCCCCTAATAATCTTTGGTTTCTGTATATTTGCTTAGCTATGGCTGCTAACTAAAAGGTCAGCAGTTCTAATCCACCAGCTGCTCCTTGGAAACCCTATGGGGCAGTTCTACTCTGTCCTATAATGTCGCTATGAGTTGGAATAAACTTGATGGCAACAGGTTTTTAAGATCAGAAGGTTTCTCCTTTTGTGACTGACTTATTTCATTCAGCATAATGTTTTTCTAGGTTCATCCGTGTTGTGGCATGCATCAGGACTTCATTTGTCTTTATGGTGAATAATATTCAATTGTACGTATATACACAATTTTTTTTTTTTGCATCTAAGGAGAACTATGCATATAAAAACTTAAGGCACAGTCGAGTGTAAGCAAAACTCTTTTTTTAATTTAAAAAAAAAATTTTTTATTGTACTTTAGATGAAGGTTTATGGAACAAACAGTTTCTAATTAAACAGTCAGTACACAGATTGTTTTATGACATTGGTTAAGAACCCCACGACGTGTCAACACTCTCCCTTCTCGACCTTGAGGACCTTTTTTTTGGTGAAAATATACATAGCAAGGTTACACCATTTTGAAAGTTTCTACATATACTATTCAGTGACATTGATTCCATTCTTCCAGCTACACTGCTATTCTCACTATCTTTTTCCAAATTATTCCACTACCATTATCTTCAACTCACTGCTTCCTAGGCTTCCCATCAAACATTTTGGGTTGCTGTTGTCAATCTGAACTCATATAGATAATTCTTTTTTTTTTTTCATACCTTCAGTGAAGGTTTGCAGAACAAATTGTTTCTCATTAAACAGTTGGTACACGTATTGCCTTATGACAATGGTTAACAACCCCATGACATGTCAATACTGTCCCTTCTCAACCTTGGGTTCCCTATCACCAGCTTTCCTATACCCTTCTGCTTTCTAGTCCTTGTCCCTGGACTGCTGTGCCTCATTAGTTCTGTTTTGTTTTATGAGGCTGTCCAATCCCTGCCTGAATGGTGAACTTCAGGAGGGGCTTCATCACTTAGCTAAAAGGTTGTCCAGGGGCCATACTCTCATGGTTTCTCCAGTCTGTCAGGCCAGTAAATCTGGTCTTTTTTTGTGAGTTAGAATTCTGTTCTGCATCCTATTCCGCTCTGACCAGGATCCACTATTGTGATCCCGGACAGAGCAGTCAGTGGTGGTAGCCAGGCACCATCTAGCTGTACTGGACTCAGTCTGGTGGAGGCCTTGGTAGCTGTGGTCCAATAGTCCTTTGGACTAATCTTTTACTTGTATCCTGTTCTCTTCGTTCTCCCTTGCTCCCGAAGGAAAGAGACCAGTGGGGTATCTTAGATGGCTGCTCACAGGCTTTTAAGACCCCAGATGCTACTTACCAAGGTAGAATGTAGAACATTGTCTTTATAAGCTGTGTTATGCCAATTGAACTAGATATTCCCCGAGACCACGTTCCCCACAGCCCTCTGCCCAGCAATTCAGTCCCTCAGGGAGTTTGGAAGTGTCTGTGTAGCTTCCATGACCTTTCCTTGTACAAGTTGTGCTGGCTTCCCCAGTAATGTGTACAGTCCTACCCTTCACCAAAGTTACCTCTTATCTATTTAGTTCCCCCCCCATCCCTCCCATCCCTTGTACCCAACAAAGATTGTTTCTTTTTGTGTGTAAACTTTTACATGAGTTATACAGTAGCGGTCTCATACAATACTTGTCCTTTTGTGATTGACTTATTTCACTCAGCATAATGTCCTCCAGTTTCATCCATGTTATGAGATGCTTCACAGATTCATCATTGTTCTTTATCTTTGTATAATACTCCATTGTGTGTATGTACCATAGTTTATCCATTCATCTGCTGATGGGCATCTAGGTTGTTTCCATCTTTTTGCTATTGTGAACAGTGCTTCAGTGAATATGGGTGTGCATATGTCTATTAGTGTGACGGCCCTTATTTCTATAGGATATATTCCTAGGAGTGGGATTGCATTTTGTAGCGCTTTTTTTTTGTGGTGCTGACATTTTCTTTGTTCCTTATACTTTCCTATGCTGAGTTCATTTTGTTTGTGGATTTTTTTCATTTCTTTTGTTTTTGCAGGTTTTGTTTTTACTGAGACTTTTTGTTTTCCTTCTTTATTTTGATGAGTAGGTTTGTTAACTTCCTTTGTGATTACCTTGAAATTTACCTTTGTCTTTCTAGATTTGTACCAGTCTATTATTACTTGGTATCACTTGACTTCCTCTCCATTAGAAGGTTCTATAACTTCACCGTTTATTCCCTCTTTTATGGTTCTGATGCTGTTGTCATTTACAGATTAAGCCCTCTGGTTCCCTTTTGTAATTATTTTGGTTTTGCATAGTCCTTAAGAGTTCATTTCCTAGGTTGGTATCTGGCTAGTACAATCCTGTGTCCTATATTCAGCCTGTGGTCTGATATTGTTTGTTCTCAGATTGAAGGATTCCCTTTAATAAGTCTTGTAAGTTTGGTTTGGTTTTTACATCGTCTGTTAATTTCTGTTTATCTGGAAATTACCTAATTTCCCCATCATATGTGAACAAGAGTTGCAGGACATATTACTCTTGGCTGGCAATTTTTTTTCTTTCAAGGTTTTATATATGTCATCCCATTGCCTTCTTGCCTGCATGGTTTCTGCCAAATAATCCAAGCTTAGTCTTATTGTTTCTCCTCTGTATGCGACTTTTTGTTTTTCTCAAGCTGCTCTCAGGATTCTTTGTCTTTGGTTTTAGCGAGTGTGATTATGATATGCCTTGGTGATTTTCTTTTGGGGTCTATCCTATATGGGGTTTGTGAGCTCCTTGGATGGTCAGCTTTTCATCTTTCATGATATTTGGGAAGTTTTCTGTCAGCAATTCTTCAGTGATCTTCTCTGTGTTTTCTGTTTTCTCCCTCTGTTCTGGAACTCCGATCACTTGCAGATTTTTGCTTTTGATTTTATCGCACATAATTCTCAGGGTTTCTTCATTTTTCTTCGTTATTTTTTCTGATTTTTCCTCAAAGAGAGTTGTATCCAAGTGTTTGTCTTCAATTTCACTGATCCTATCTTCCATCATTTCAAACCTGCTCCTCAGCCCTTCTATGGCACTGTCCATTTCTGAAATCTTGTTCTTTATCTTTTGAATTTCTAATTGTTGTTTTTTTATGATTTCTAGTTGTGAATTTATTTTAGCATTTTGTTCCTGTATTATTTTCTTGAATTTTTCCATTTTTTTTGTGTGTATTTTCCATGAATTTGTCTATTTTTTCCTCAATTTTGTCTGTTTTTTGCTTCAACTCTTGGATAATTCTTAATATTAGAGATTTGAATTCCTTATCAGTTAGGTCCAGTGCCTTTTCTTCTACTGGAAGGTCATCTGGTGTTTTATTTTGGATGCCTACTGGGATCATCCTGTCTTGTTTTTATAAATGTTTTGATATTGTCTGCTGTCTTCAGGGCATTCGGTGGTTATTTTCCTCATTTATTGATTGTAGCTTTGTTTGTTTCATCCTGCTTTTTTTTATTTGATTATGTCTGAGGAAGCAGGCTGTGCATTCTTTGTTGTTTGCTCATCTGTGGGCGTGATACTTTTCGTCTCCTTCTCCAATGGGCAGAGTCAGTCCCTCAGGTATGGTACAGCAGGGCAGGTCCAGGTGAAAGGGAGTTGCTGGGATAGGTTTTTTTGTGGCATGTACCAGGGCTGACAGTGTGGACTAGGAATCAGTGCAGGGCAGGTTACAGTAGGCTGTGCTTGTGTTGCTTAGGAGTGTGATCTTCAGCATATGGTACAATTAGGCAAGAAGGAGCGGGTAGATTGTGATGTGTGGAGCTAAGATGGGTATGGGAAAGACGAGAGAGAGGAAAGAGGAACAGGAGCCAAAGACATACACACAAACAAAAAAGAGTGCTAAGGGAGCTTGCTACTGGAGTGGAGAGATGAGAGACTGAGAAACAGAGAAAAACAAAAACGAAAAAAATAAATAAAAAAGATAAAAGAAAAAAATGAATAAACTGAGAAACTGGAACTGACGAAAGACAAAAAGGGAATAAGAGAGAGAAAAAAACTAAACAAATAAATAAAAAAAAAAAAAAACAGAAAAAAGAAATGCCCCCATGTATGTCCCTGTGTGTCTGTGCTGAGTAAGGGACTAGCTTCCGAGCCATGTGGTACTGCCCTGGCTAGAAGGGGCTCCCAAGCCTAGAGAAGAAAAAGAAAACAAACAAACAAATCAAAACAGAACAAATCAGCACAAACAAACAAACAAAAAAGCCCCGGGGGTCCCACCAGTGTGGCAGCATGGTCTGGGAAGCACTTTTGTAGTCAAGTGATGTTTCGCAGCCTTTCAGGAAGACGCAAAGATGGTGCACAGAGCCAGGTATTTGAGAGATAGGAGGGGGAGGTGGTGAGAGGTTCGGAAGAAAACTAAAGAAGTGGAAAAAAAGCAACACCAGCAGCCAACAAAAGGCACTCAGGGAGCTGGCCAGTGCAAGCGGGTGGAATCAAAGTGGCACTGGGGGGAAGCTCATGCTTCCTGGCCAATAGACTGTGGCTGCAGGAAGCAGAGGAGGTTAAATTGGGGTGAAGAAGCTTGCGGGGTGAGAAAGCCTATATCGTGGGTTACTGGTTGTTCTATCTCCTGCTGGAAGTGCCTGAAGCTGCTTTCTCATACCTCCTGTTCCCTGATCTCTGATAGGAGTCCAAGATGGTTGATCTGAGCTGCAGTAGCTGATAAGGGACCTCTGCATGTATCTCTCCTCCCTCTCTGATGTCAGTCAGTTTCTTATTCCATTCGGTGCTTGGCTGAGTTGTTTTTCTCTTCTTTTGATGGTTACGGTTTCAGGATTGACGTGTGACTCTGTTTGACTTAGTTTTTCTGATCTTTGCTGTGGAGGGATGGCGTGGTGCTTCTGACTATAGCGTCATGTTGCCCAGAAGTTCATATACACAATTTTTTAATCCATTCATCTGTTGATAGACATTTCAATTGTTTCCACCTTTGGGCTATTGTGAAAACTGTACAATGAATATTGGCGTTCAGGTTTCTGTTTACATTTCTGCTTTCAGTTCTTCTGGGTATATACGTAGGATTGGGATTGCTGGGTCATATGGTAATTCTATGTTCAACTTTTAGGAACTGACAAACTGTTCTCCATAGCAGCTATACCATTTTACATTCCCACCCACAATGTTTGAAAGAGCTTAAGTCTTTATAAATGTTTTGACTTATACTAATTCAAATAATTTTGCTTTTGTCTAGTGCTGATACATTGATCTATGTCAGGCTGTTTGAAGCAACACAAAGTCAGCCCATCCCATAGGAGAAGATGGTGTTTTTTGGACCCCAGCAAACATTTCAGATGTCAAATAAGTTAGTAAACAAAAGTGATGGCATGGTGCACAGACTGTTCTTAAGCTCTGGTGATAAATCTGCTTCTTCCACTTGGATATGACACCACATATAATGGTGTCTCAATAAGCATAGGCAGGTATGTTCCCCTTGCTAGCTCAGGTCTGTCACTCCAGGTAGCCTTCATACCCCGTAGGTTTCACAAGCTCTTTCCCTCACACCCAGCCTGCTCTCTGTTTTGTACCAGCCAAGTCTGTCAACTGTCAGTTGCTTCCCTGAAGTCACTGCTATGTGTGGAAAGTCCTGCTTCAGTGACATTTTGAAGAGTCGAATAACTGAATGATCTTTAGCCCGAAGACTCTAAAAAGAGAGAAAATAAATTTACACATGTTGAACTTGAATAAAAATGAGTGTAACAATTCTTTATGTTATCTCTCCCTCCAGGAAGACAAACATCTCAACACATACCTAATGGAGGTGACTTAGTCATATATCCTTTCTCTGAAACAATTTGGAAGGTAAATGTGGTAGGTGGCCATCAACATTCATTTTATAAAATGGACACACACATTTAGAAGAAAGGCCTATATTAAGAAATAGCCATTCTTCTGGGAATATGGAATATCAGGTTCTAGGCCCGACTCTCTTGCTCTTAACTTTCTGAATGACCATGGATAGGTGACAGCATTTCCTAGTCTGAATTTTCTTGTTGATAAAATTACAAGGATTAGATTAAGTGATGGCTATTTCTCTTTCCCTGGTGGCACAGCAGTTAAGAGTTTGGCTGCTAACCAAAAGGCTGGCAGTTCAAATCCACCAGCCTCCCCTTGAAAACCCTATGGGACAGTTCTACTCTGTCCTATAGCGTTGCTATGAGTCAGAATCGACTCGACGGCAATGGGTTCGGTATTTCTCTTTTCAACTACAAAATTTTTTGATACTACTCTTTTCTTAGACTTATTTAGTAGGCAACATCTACTAGCTGCAATGAGGTAATAAAAATGGAAGAGAAGATTAAAATTTTGTTAAGTTTACAATTTAATTGGAGAAAAGAAAGATGCATCCATTGAAAATATGATAAAGGGAACGTAGGATTAATCAAAGGCAATTTCTTGGAGAAGAGAAGTTTGAGATAGATGTTGACAGTAGTATGCTGACTTCGTAGAGGTGAGAAGGACCTTTCGGAGACAGGGATGGAGACTGGTGGGACAGGTGGAGGGTAGGGAGCAGAGACAATGACTCAAAGCCATGGATAGGGATGAAAAGTGATGGCATCTAGCCTGAGAGAAAGGATATGCTTCATTTAAGCCCCACAATCCCTGTAGCCACCATCACGTTAACCTCAGTGCAGAGTGCCAACCTCATTATAAATCACTGAAATTTTGAAACTGATCTATACAGGAAGAAGCTATTAACAGAAAACCATGAACAGATAAGATGGACAGACCACTGAACAGGAAACAAAGTACTGCCATGCTGAGTCAGTGCTAATGGGGACAGCATTTTCCTCGCATTTTGTAATTTATGAGTTCCTCTTTGTAACAGGTAACAGCTATACACGTGCTCAGAAACCTGGGCCTGTGGTTAGACTCAAAAGAACTCAGTGTGACATATCTTTATTTTCCTGTTTTCATTCTGTGCTTGAAGTTTTTGCTACTTCTTTCAAATGTCACATTGTTTAGTTAAGAAATTAAAAGTTCATTTGTAATGTGCTGAAGGTAAATCTGTAACTTAAAGAGTCCAGTTAACAAGAATAAGCTGGAATTTGAACTCTGGGCATCATCAGAAGGCATCCTATCCTATGGCATAAGTTTGTGTTGTTCACCAGAAGTTTTTCATTCTGTGATGCTGCCCAGACTGGCTCCCTTGCTGGCATGTGGCTAGAAAGCCCCAGAGATCGAGTGCTGTTTAATTTGCATCATTACATTTCCTCCCCTGTATTCCTGCTTATCTTTTGACCTCCATCTGAGACTTCTGTCTACTCCTTTAGGGCTTTGTTCTTTGTCACTCACTTTCCCTTTGAGTTCTCTCAACCCAGTGAGCTCATCTTAAAGTTCCTGCTGAAGAGATGACTCTTCTGGGGAATTATAGGGGCAATTTTTTTTTCCTGTACTCATTCCTGTCTCATTCTAAAATAGATTTCTATGAAAGAAGGCTCAAAAACAGACAACCTCGCCATCTCGTTCCTACTTTTTTCTCTTTCTCCAGGTGATACTTGAATGCTTCGTATGTTTAAAGTACTATACTAAAGCTAGTTAAGTATATAAAGACATTAAGAAAAAAAGACTTTATCCTCCATAAAAAAAAAAAAAAAAACAGAAAAACTTCATATGATAATTTAAGTAAATATGACTTGAAAAATATTATGTTGCAAGTATCTTCTAAATCTTCCCTGGAAAGACCATCAACTTATTCTAACAGTTGGTAAAAAACCAAAAAAACAAAACCCGTTGCTGTCGAGTCAATTCTGACTCACAGCGACCCTATAGGACGGAGTAGAACTGCCCCTGTAGGGTTTCCAAGGAGTGGCTGGTGGATTAGGACTGCTAACCTTTTGGTTAGTAGCCAAGCTCTTAACCACTGTGCCTAAGTCTTCTCAGAGTATCTTACGTAGATTGGATTTCTACCTGACCTGTATTTCCTCTATCACACCCACTTTTAACTGAGAAAGCTTTGTCATTATTGAAGAATTTAAAATTATGTCACTGAAGTACTGAGGGCAATTTAAAAAAAAGCAGTTCCAGAAGCTTTTTAAATAATGTCTGTCTTTACGTTAAGTGTATTGTCTTCTCAGTGGATTTTTAAGAAAGTAATATTAATCTATATGTATAAACCATTTTAAATTTTAAAGAATAATTCATTTCAATTGAATAATAGTTTGTAGGAGGGAAGAAAGGAAGGAAGAAATAAAGGAAATAACATATGTATCTATCTATATCTATCTATCAAGAGAAATAGAGAAAGTGAAATGTCAAAATTAGGAGGTAAAAATATAATAATCCTTTAGTCAAAAATGTTTCATTCATAATTTCTCTCAGAAATCCTTTTTCAATCTGATAATGCAGCATTTTTATTGTTGTTCTGGAAAATGAAAGTTATTTTTTCTACGCTCAGGAAAATTATTTGTTGAACTTTAACAGAGTCACTCATTGCTGAAACAACCAGATCAAGGCATCACATCTAAGACTATGTGATCCGAAGACAGATTTAGCTCATTTGAGGCACTATAGGAACTGTCCTGAGTTCACTGTGTGAGAGGAACCTCTGCAATGGGAGACCTTTTGGAGATTTAAAGGAACTTTGAGGAGGTATAGCCTAAATGGTGGGCGTATTTTCTTACCAGGGTACTCGGGTAACAGATACATACACCAGAATGTGGTATTCAGGTGGAGTAGAGAAGAAGTTAGAATGCCTGCTTACAAGAGTCATTCCATTGGGACTTAGAACCTTCCATACCCAGAGAACTATGTACCCACAGATATGGTGCCATGTAGCCATTTCTTCACTCTGAAAGCGCAGTTCATGAAAGGAGACTTTGCAGACGCATGTTGAGCTCAGCATTGTCCTTGTGACACTGAAGACTCAAAGAAATGGGAATGGAGTTTTGGCCTATAAACACATTTCAAGCTAATTGGAAAGATATGGCATGCATGAACAAATAATAAAGCATAATTGTTCATAAAAAAAGTGCTGATAGACACAGTACAGAAGATGATAAGAAAACTCTGGTGGGGACAATGTAGTTCAGAGCTGTTGATGAAAGACAGATGAGAGAAAAGATATTTGATATGGTCATTGGGGATTAGTCAGGATTTGGATATATTGAGGGGGGAGTAAAACAAGAAGAGCAAGTTGAGCAGCCCTAAGGATGAGAGAGCAAGGCCAGAAATGCACAGGGTTTAGCTGGAAATAATGGTGCCTTGATAGAGATCCAACTGTGAAGGGCTTTGGCACAGTGGTTAAGAGCTTGGCTGCTAACCAAAAGGTCAGCAGTTCTAATCCATCAGCCACTCTTTGGAAACTTTATGGGGCAGTTCTACTCTGTCCTATAGGGTCATTATGAGTAGGAATGACTCAATGGCAATGGGTTTTGGTTTTGTCTTATTAAACCAAGGAATTTGGAATTTTTCCATTAGCAGGGGGAAAGTTTAAGAAATCATTCTTCAAATTTTTAGGGGAATGTTTTCCTACTTATTTATTTCTCAATCTCACTGTTGCTCATTATTTGTCAGAAATTTGTAATCTGAAGAAACATGGCAGAAGTGCTGTTTAAGAAATAACTAGCCTGGTCCCATATGAGGAATGGGTTAATGAGGAGAGAGCCCAGATGTACTGAGACCAATTAGTAGACTAGACATACACCAATCAGTTCTGACCTCCTGTAAAAGGAGTAGGAATAGACACAGAGGAAGATGAGACATGAGAGTGTGGACACTAAAAGCTGTAGGAGATAAAAGAGGGAGAAAGAAACAAATGGACTCTGAGGTTTGATTTTTGAGGAATAACTTACTTCTGATAGAAAGAGAATCAAAAAGAATCTTCAAACAAACATGCCCATCTTCTCATTTCTACAGTGTTCTGCAAAAAAGTGTTTACTATCATTTGCCAAAGTCATTGTTGCTCACTGCTTGTTAGAATCTTTTTTGAGAGAAGAAGCATATATGGAAAATTTCATAAAATACTGATCCCTTCACCCAGAAATCATCAACTGATATCCTTTGATATAAATATAGCCTGTAGAGTGTAGCTTGCAGACGAGCTCTGCTTGCATAGCCCAGAATTAAAAACAAACAAACAAACTCTGAAAATATGAGTCCTTAGGCAAAGCATGAACTCTCCACTATCCACTGTCTATTGTCTTACATTTAGCATCTGCATGTTTCTATTACCTGCCTGCCATCTGAAGGCAACTCTGTTGAGTTGCTGTTGAGTCAATTTTGACTCATGGGAACCCTATGTGTGTAAGAGTAGAACTGTGCTCCATAGGGTTTTCAATGGCTGCTTTTTTGGAAGTAGATCACCAGAACTTTCTTCTGAGGCACCTCTGGTGGACTGGAATCTCCAAACTTTTGGTTAGCAGCCAAGCTCATTAACTGTTTGGTCCATTTAGGGACTCCATTTATAATTTAGGCCTGGATAAAAACCAGATTAACAGGGAGCTGAAAATCTGGGCCACATCATTGTGGCTCACTGTTTGAGTGACTTTAATGGCATTGCTTTTTGCCTTTGAACCACCAGTCTGGATTATTGTGTTCACCCTTAAGAAGTAGTTAATGGCATTTAATACACTCTACACTGACTTCTAGCCAAGGTGTTTTTTTTTTTCCTCTTGCCTTGCGACTAGAATAGTTGAGTTTCTCTAGAGTAACTAATCAGGAGATCGAGAAACATGTCTTCTTCTATTACATCTTGCAAAGGCTGCCAGAAAGTTAACAGCCTAATTTTTATCCCACTTCTAGCTAATGAATATGTAGGACATTAATGCAATTGTTTTCTGATAAATTCACTCTAGGCTATACCTTGTTTTTTTCTAGACTCACTTTTCCCCCTTGCAGGAATTTCCTCAGATGCTTAATTTTTATTTTATTTTGCTGTGTTGTTTCGATTTGAGGTGGAGATTATCTCTCTCTCTCTATCTCCCTATCTATCTGCTATCTATCTCACTCTCTATTTATCTATCTACCTATCGATCTATCATCTATTCATCCGTATTTCCCCTAGGCCCTAGTTTTCCCCTACTCCATTTATATGTTTCACAAGGGAGTACCATATTCTTAACTTACCTGACGTGTAGCCATAGCTATCGGTCTGGAGTGGGCACTCGACTCTATGGGCAATTGCTAGGCCAGTAAGTCTTCTCCCAACAAGTGTTTGAACTTGAGACTCAGACCACTGTCTTACCAATGACTACAGCTGTAATAGTAGCACTCAAGAGCTGTCAGCAGTCATGTTTTCTACATACAACCATAAAAAGAAAACCAGTATGGAGAAGGAATGAATCCAAAACACTAAAGAAGAAAAACGAAACAAAACTTCAGAATTGGAGAGGGAGTCCAGATAACAGCAAGTCTCAGGTTTTGCTTGTTTCTGAGGCTTTAGCTCAATCTCTACCTTTGTTGAAATTTGGCAGTTCAATTTTATTTTGGACTCTCTGAGACACCCCGATATCTTTTCTAGTAAGGACCCTTTTCATTTCAGTTATTTATAGGTGGGGCAGGTCTCTGGCACATGCAACTAAATGAGTTATGTTATTAGGTGCCATCATTCACTTCCGACCCTGTGAACAACTGAGCAAAACATTCTGAATCCTGTGCCATCCTCACAATCGTTGCTACGCTTGAGCCCATTGTTGCAGCCACTGTGTCAATCCATCTCATTGAGGGTCTTCCTCTTTTTCACTGACCCTCTACTTTACCAGTCATGATGTCCTTCAGGGATTGGTCTCTCCTGATAACATGTCCAAAGTACATGAGGTGAAGTTTCACTTTCCTCTCTTGCAAGGAGCGTTCTGGCTGTACTTCTTGAATTATAGTAAGCACACTTGTTTTTTCTTTTCTTTTTTGTGCTTAGGTGAAAGTTTACAGAGCAAATTAGTTTCTCATTAAACAATTAATACTAATATTGTTTTGTGCCATTGGTTGCCAACCCTTTGATGTATCAACACTTTCCCCTTCTTGACCTTGGGTTCCCCATTTCCATTTGTCCAGCTTTCCTGTCCCCTACTGCTTTCTCGTCCTTGCCCCTGGGCTGGTGTGTCCATTTAGTTTCCTATACATGGTAGAATTATGTGTGTTATTATTTGTTTTATAGGCCCGTCTAATCTTTGGCTGAAGGGTGAACCTCAGGAATGACTTCAGTACTGAGTTGAAAGGGTGTCCAGGGGGTA